TGCTTGAAAATAATGAAAGAAAATAAGTAACAAATGAAATAAATTTGAATTTTTGAAAATTCTTGGCCATTGAAACCTTTTGTACACGTTTTTCAGTTGCTAAAGAATGGAACTTTATTTCTATAAAAATATTTTGTATCCACATTCATTTGAACTTTTGAAGTTACCCAAACAAAACACATCACTTTGTGTATGTGTCAAGTTCAAGTTAAAATCATTAGTGGTTTGTAGTTGTGTAATTTAATGATACTGTATTGCATGCCAAGAAATACTTCAACTGAAAGTAAAATTTAATGCTCTCTGACATAACACAGGCTGCGATAAAATCTCAACGCATCTAATTTCAACTACCTTCATATCTTTTCCTTTCTAAAATACAAAACAAGTGCATTTAGCAAATTCCCCTTGCTATGCTGTGCTCTCTCCATTGCACTTCAATTCTGAAGGTAAAAGTAATGGTGGAAGGCACACACATGAAATCATGAATACTTTATGTACCTCTGACGATGAGTCTAATCATGCTGAAATGATTGTCTGTGAGAGTAACACCACTTCCAATGACAGTATACAAGTCCCCATGGACTGCGTCAGCAGAAGAAACGGCGAAATCAAGCTGATTTAGATTAGCTAGATTCTCGTCAATAGTTCCATTTCTTGTGCGCCGCCAAAAAGGAGGATGATCAGTTTTAACTTGGATGACAGAAAGAGTTACATCTTCTCCTTTGTTGACCGTTCTTGTTACTTGTCCATCAGTAGGCTCAAATCTCCCTAGAGAAAATCGAAAAGTTCTTGAAGATTTCATTGCAAAGACTGCATATGTTTATGTCTCCCAAGAACAGACAAAAGTGAAAAAAAGGACAGCGATTTCCTTTGAAACTGAATGGGGCGAAGAATTCTTATTAGGAACAGCGACCTTATACATTAATCAGGAATGGAAAACAATGGATATAGAAATGTAGGACCTACATTTTTCCCCCTTGTTTCAAGAAGGATGTTGTATTAACTCTTATTTTAATGTACATGTGCAGGGCTTCAAACTATAGAAGCATTCATGGATGTACTTACTTTGAATACTGTGGACGATGCTGTACACTCTGGTTGTCAAGCCTCTGTTTGAACCTTCACAATAAAACAATCCGGTGGCATCATTACTGGAGGTAAGATCCCATGTGACTGCTTGTCCATTCACTGATTGTGCACTGCCAGTCGGGAGAGAAGTGGAATATTGCACTGTTGAGAATGGAAGACCTATTTGGAATGGTCTACCAAAGCTCAAGGCAACTCCAGCATCAGGACTGCTACGGAAGCAGCTGATGCTTGCTGAAGACCCCGCCCCATAAGGTGTGGGTGTGACCATTGTCAGATGGACCCTATCACCTGTTTGGAAAATCAAACAAAATAGTCCTAAATTTGTTCCAGGCAAGTACACATACATGTATATTGTGCAAAAGTCAATCTTTTCCATTCACTGACACAGAACCTATGTGTATACAAACATCTGACTTTTAACGTAGTATTTTTGAGTACACTCATCTCCATTTACTAAAATGTAGAACTACCATAAAACACAAGGCTAGGCATAAAAAAAACAAAAATGTGCACGCATTTTCTTAGCCCTGACGACTTCCCCTTTTTCCTGAAAAAATCCATTATGTAAACAAGAGAGAGGAAGCAAACAGAACAAGCACAAAAAATAAAAACATGGGCTTCCTCCTGCAGTGACACACACAAAAAACTTGGATGTCAAATTATTTTTGAAAAGAGTTCCATTATAAGGACACTGCTTGACACCCTATTCACAGACCCTACGAGACAATTGTCTGAAAATATTACTATAATTGACTTTTTAGGTCATGTTATCGGCTTCCAGATTGCTAATCAGTGGCGTCTGCAGATACATGTATGGAATTCTTTAGACGTGATTTTAATGAACATCAGTACTGCCATCTGTTACTTCTTTTTTTTTCTTTTGCGTCATTTACAAATTATGGAACCGGCCTGGATCTGTCAAAGCTACACCAACGTTATTTCTAAGTTTGTTGTGCTTGCCTGTGACACTGAATACCACTGACAGGATAATCAGAAGACAGCGACCAAAATCCTCCATGGCGAGACGTCCACGAACCCGGAAGTTAATGTACCGCTAATACACACGTCGCCTGCGACGTAGGTGCATAAAGCGTTAATTTTATAACTTCCACAACTTGTTTCCGATAATTTTTCAAAATAAGAGAGATTACGACGCTCTTCTGGAAACTAGTTTCTACGGAGAAACCGACTTGGCAGTCTCCGCTATCATGTACATATTTTTGATTTCAACATTCCAGTAAACAGATGATTAAAAACGAATAATTTCGTCTTCAGAGCAGGCCTATACCGAGTTCCGAAATTAACTTCGATGCATGTTTACTGATGCATGACCGCGGATCTAGACTGGCATACGTGCGTCCAGTCAGTGTATTATCACAGGTCTATGCCACAGTGATGGACTGAACTGTGGCAGGTGCCCGACCGGTCTCAACTTTCGCTCATAATTAATGTATGCCAATCATTTCCGGAATTAAGCAGTAAATAATTAAGCTACTTTAGACAACAGTGACAAATAGCCCCACTTCAAAAAGTCAGGAAAAATACTCACGATTACCCCAGGTGTTAAAGACACATGTCAAATTAAAGCTCACTTGATTATCTTTTACTTTCCTGTCTATTTTCAGTGGCTCCTAAAGATATAGGCCAATATCAGCTCTTAAAACAGTTGTGAGGCCCATTTTGAAAATTGATGCCTACACGGCCACTGCAAAATTTGAAGGCCGTGTTTGGTCCGATACTTTCGTACAAGCTTACAGTCAGTAGCGTAGCTAGGATTTTAATAGTGATATACCCAGCAAGCCAAATGAGACCGAGGGGTACCCCCCCAACATGTCCAAATCCCTATATACACATTCCAGACTATTGTTACTTAACACATCCCCCAACATGTCTGAAAGGAATTCCCCAGATTCCTGCGAGACAATGACCAACACAAAGCAGGGGGGGTCTCTTCGTCTCATACCTTGCTGCATATGAATAGTGAGGGGCACAAGAGGGGGGGGCACCAGCTTTAATTGGTGTGGTTTTCAATATCCATTCATCCCTTTTTTCAGTGGGGGGAATCTGGAGGGCACCGGGAATTTGAGTGGGCGGCACGTCTCCCCCCCCGGTACTCCACGTACCACGTACAAAATGTTGTAATTGTATCGCAGAAAATTTGACAGCGAGCTGAAAAATCGTGATTTGGTCCGCGCGGGCAATTTTGGGCCTAATTACTGGCCTGCAACTTTAAATCTGCTGATTGCACGAACAGGCCTTTTGTCATCAAACATTAACTTGAAAACAACTTAAACTTGCAGTTTTGCATTACTGCTTTGGGCACACCCAGTCTTCTTGCTTTTGCCTGCAAATGTATGCACAACCCTTTCAATGTCCAGACTATGCCACACTGAGCCACAAATGGGGTGTTGGGCTACTGAAAATGAGGATCAGACCCATACATGTGGCATCAACCATAAGTGGCAACGCGCTGGCCAATCACAATGCGCGAAATGTGTCAGCCCCTTCCAAGGCGCGCATTGCCTGTCATGGTCTCATTTTTCCGGCGTGCTCTGATTTCCGGAAGAACGCACCCGATAAATACGGGCGTTTTACGGTTTTTTTTTTTACTTTTTTACGTTTTTTATAGTGCGCCCCCAAGAGTTTGCAATGCGTTGGACAATCACAGTGCGCGAAATTTGTCGACCCAATGCCCGTTTGGAAAGGGCCGACAAATTTCACGCGTTGTGATTGGCCAAGGCGTCGCAAACTCTTGAAGGCGCGCACTTTGCCCCAACATGCCCATTTCTCGGGTGTACTGATTTTTCCAGTTGCATAGGCCTACGTACGTTCTTTTAAGTTGTTTCACATTTGGCGCGGTCATGGTAAATACAAGGGAATATACAGAGGAGAGTGGAAGGGTTGTTTGATCCACACATTTTACACATCACAACCGCCTAGGTGGTGTTGTATTTTCAGTATTACCTGTGTAAATGCCGTGATCATGCGATGTAGGAACTCAGCACAAAAGGGAACAAAGAGGGGATTCACTTCGCCCACGTTTGGGTCCCAGTTCGTGTTGCTCAGCAGTTTTCGCTTATTTATACTTGCCGGTAATCTGAGCACGCTGGAAAAACGAGACCGTGACGCCGGTCAACATGTACAAACTGTTGGCGGTGCACTATTCGAAATCGCCCGTATTAGAGCTCAGTGAGGCATCCAATTTTTTGCAATTTACCTGCAGAAATTTCATCACTGGGGTGTTTGGACTTCGCAACATTGCTTTTGACATTGTAAGTTATAACCGTGAAAAGACATCAAAAGCAATGCTTAACCGATACTCACATTGACCGACATTCAGATTAGTAAGGACTTTCAGATTATCAATCTGCATGTGTATCAGTGCTCCCACCAGCAGTATTGTGAAAAACAAACCACTTCGATATCTCTTAGCAAGCAGCGAAAAGTTGGTTTGTTCCATGCATTTGAATTACAAGACACTGCTTCCCCCCCCCAAAAAAAAATCAGCTACCCCTTCCCTCCTTGTCGCATAATGCTTGGGTTTCTAAAAAAATTAAAAAATCCAAATTATTTGAATCTAACAGGGCTATAGCACGGCACACAGCCTAGATCTACGTTTTCCATGCCTTTCGCTGTGTGGAAAAGCCGACGGCCCCAAGGCCGTGTCCTGACGATCACGCTGCGGAACGCACAGGGCAAAGCTTCCACCCGAAGACTCCAAGGAAATTCTTAACACTTTGCCACCTCGAGTAATTTATTCCTAAATGACAAGCCTATATATAAGATAATATAAAAACTGAATAATCTACACAATTATAAATTCGTATCAGGGTAAAGCGAACTAACGCTTCACGAGAACTAGTAAGGTGCCGGTGAAATGTGAAAAACCTTATGCTTAATCAAGATCGTGATACAATTCAAGCAAAGCGTCTTTAATTCGAACGCAACTTTCAGCACGCAAAAAATGAGCATGCACTTATCTCTCTAAACAAATTTACAAGCCTGCAGTTAATAAATGATAATTTGGGCGATATGCAACTTTGTCACTGTCCCATCAGTATACCACAAAAAGTCATACAATTTTACGTTTTTATGTTTTATCGCTTGGAACACTTATCACTAGTTTTCCACTTCCTGACCCTAGCAAAAGTCCAGAAAAGGATTGAAAGTATGTAACAGTCCGTTAAACGGTTAATAGTTGGTTTGTAATTAAAAAAATATTACGGATACAAGCATTGTTGACATATCAAAGTTAAAAATCTGCATAGATTGACCAAACAATAGCAGGGAATTATGATACAAATCTTTCATTATCAAAAAAAGACAACAAAAAGCGGAAATATGAAATGAAAGGCTGGTGAAATAGTAGCGCTCTCTAACATAATAAAAGTAGCTCTGTCTCAGAGTTTTATAAGATAAAGGCTGCTTCTCGTTTAGCAGTTTTGTTTTGATCTGTTTAATCTTGTTTTTTTTTCCAAATACATGAAAATAATTCTTACGTTTTCAGCAGAAGCCATTTCATTTTAATGAAGCCCTTGATAGGAAAGCTTTTGAAAGGTCAGTTCCGTATCTGCATTGTAAGACAGTATCATTGTTGTTCAAATTCACTTGTTACTGCTATAAAGTGAATGACATTTTGAAAAATGAGGCAATCAACCGTAAATCGCTCCGTATCGGTGCATCACCAAGCACATACATTTGCTTAATCAATAAGCTACGTCAATACATGTGCATAATCCTAAAGAAAAAATCACTAAGGAAGATGATATGGAAATATACCAATGGTTATACCTCAAAGCAAGAAGATTATGGCATATTTCAGATATACGTTATGTTCAAATGCCATTTTTAGCGAATCCAAAGTCAGTATACCGAATAGATAATGTCAATATAGTACGTCTGAATCTAAAAAACGGATTGCAATTAATGTACACTTTTGTGATTGTCATATCGCAAGAAACAAGTAAATATATACAACGCAGTGTATGTGACACTTAATTCAAATAATAAAAACTCGGCTTTACTGAATACAGTCAAAGAAAAACAAAATTAAGTGACATCCGATAAAACTTTACCAAGTTTTAATCTGAAATAAAAGTTTTTTACCCTAATCCATATACACGCACCATATAGCCTTCAGTTTGAACAAGCAAGTGTAGTAAATTAAAGGACACAAATATACATTCATGTGTAAAGGTACACTAGTACATAAGATAAATCCTTCATCATAGTGAAATAAAGAAGAGAAATTAAGTGAAAGATAGATAAATATAACATCAGAAATTAAATAAAACAAAATCACTGAGTAGCTGAATTTAAACTCTCCTGAAACAAGTGTAATTCTGAGTTTGCACAGCAACAGAATGAGGGTTACTGTTACACCACGCGTCAATGTGACGTTGACCTCAGCTGATTACATCATTTTGGGCTATTCGTTCAGCAGATTTCGTTTGTTGCTTATTATGAAGACAGGTAGATTTTTTTTTAATGCTATAACAAAAGCGTCGCTGTGAAGAGAATTTTCAAATAGTTCCCTGTCTGCAACTTAATTCCTTCACTAGCATATAGAATTTCATTAAATGGACATCGACTTATTAACTGAGGAAGAAGTTTACGTTCTGAATTTCAGTGTAAAGAAAACTCTTACAAACCTTACCACGCGAAAACACCATTTCAGTTTTGAATTCGGAAAAATTAAAAGTAACTTTTAATCATTTCCACGGCTCCTGTCACTATTCATCATTGACGGTATTGGGGGTCGCAAGATTACATTTTATTAGGTATCCTGTCCTAACCGTTATTTTCAGTACCGCGAAATTTATTTGGTCGCTAATCAACATGTATTTATTATAGGACAATTAAACGTTAACATTAGACCTAAAGCTCTATGTGCTGTTTAAGGTCCAAGTAGCCCTTGACGGTCATCACCCATGCTTCATTCGACCTTGGCTTGAATCCAATCAATTATCATCCAGCTCTGGGCGAATCATCAAGTACATGTAGTCCTCTGATGTTAGCAGCAGTTGCATGTAGGTCTGCAATGAGGAATATGGCACAAATGTGACCGACTTCAAAATACAGTAAATGGAATATTTCGACGACTTTTGTTTCACCTGTGGTAACTGAGACACACAACTCTCCCCTACGCAGTAAGAAGGGAAGCCTATTCGGTATGCCATGGTATGATAGTTGTGAAAAGAGCTGTTGCAAATGAAGCTAGCCAAGTTTGAAATTAGCAATTCACATCGAATGAGCAAATCCATAAGGATAAAAAAGCAAAAACAGTAAATTAAAAAAAGACAGGCCTTAATGGCTTCTGCAGGACTTCATACCAAACATCAGAACCTAAAACTTCTGTATGAAAACTGATTGACAAACGGCACTGTTAAATTGTCATTTGTTTTTGCTGCTAACATTCACCCAATTGCCCATCAAAGTAAACATCAGGAAATGTTACACGTACTATGTTTCTGCCTGGCACACAAAAAAGAGAAGCTCAACACAGAAACTATAGAGGATTAAAAAATGTCTTCATTTAATTTTTCTCTGCTACTTAAGCTGTACTTGCAAAGAGCTGTTTGTAAGTTTTACATCTCAACGGAACAAGAGGTTTGGTTACATCATCACATACTCCACGTACTAGGGTGAAGTACATTACAAACATGGGTAGATCAGAGTAGTGGTAAGCTCACCACTGCAGTGGTGAATGCACTGATATAAAACAGACAGTGACTAGCAATAAGCTTACCAGTGAGGCAGTTTGGTCCACTGAATCCTGGTGGACAGATGCAATCTCCTGTCTCATCATCACACACTCCTCCATTGAAGCACATGTCACACCAAGACAAACAGACAGACAGACCAACCTGTGACCAGGCAATGAGCTTACCAGTGAGGCAGTTTGGTCCACTGAATCCTGGTGAACAGATGCAGTCTCCTGTCTCATCATCACACACTCCTCCATTGTAGCACATGTCACACCAAGACAAACAAACAGACAGACCAACCTGTGACCAGGCAATGAGCTTACCAGTGAGGCAGTTTGGTCCACTGAATCCTGGTGGACAGATGCAATCTCCTGTCTCATCATTACAAACTCCTCCATTGTAGCACATGTCACACACATCTTCACAATTAGGAGGACCCCACTTGCTTGGAACACAACCTAGAACACAGAGACAAAACACACCGCATTATTTACCATTCATATAATTTAAGTTGCTTTTAAATTATAAACAGCCAAATGCTTGAAAATAATGAAAGAAAATAAATAAAAACTGAAATAAATTTTTGAAAATTCTTGGCCATTGAAACCTGTGTACACGTTTTTCAGTTGCTAAAAAATGGAACTTTATTTCTATTAAAAATTTTGTATCCACGTTCATTTGAACTTTTGAAGTTACACAAACAAAACACATCACTTTGTGTGTGTGTCATGTTTAAGTTAAAATCATTAGTGTCTTGTAGTTGTGTAATTTAATGATACTGTATTGCATGCCAAGAAATACTTCGACTGAAAGTAAAATTTAATGCTCTCTGACATTTCAAGAATTGTCCTTACTGACTATAGTAAGGCATTTGATAGAGTCGATCACAATGTGGCAATTGAGAAATTGCTAAATCTGGGCGTACGTGCATCCATCATCCCATGGATCTGCAGCTTCCTCCAGGATCGCCAGCAGTGTGTTCGGTACCACAGCACAACTTCTACCTGGCTTTCAGTAAACGCCGGTGTCCCACAGGGCACCCGACTCGGCCCAGTTATCTTCATGGCGTTGGTCAACGATGTTGCTAATGGCCTTTCATCTAACCATTGGCAGTACGTTGATGACCTTACGCTAATAGAATGCCTAAGCAAAAATCACCAAAG